TGAAAAGGATGCATTTCATTTTATTATCTGAATTCCCAGATGAGGGCCAATGTTTTATTACAGCTTATTTAACTCAGACTTTCCAAGGTGAACTATTTGATTGAGTCAAGGAAGACAGATTACTTTCACATTCACTGCAATCATTTGCTGAAGCTAGAAATGTTACAGAATGATAGATGAAGAAATTTTCACAGGACTAAACTAGCAATATTAGTCCTTAGGGAAAAAGTACTTTCCTTATGATTTGAGACTTCATCTCCAAACTATAACTGTTTTGGCAGATACCAGGTTTGCAAATATAGTCCTAAAATTTTCAGGGGCTTGGAATAATTTTGAGCAAGGCATTATTGATTCCTTTCCTACTTACCTCACAGCAATAATATCAGCCCATCTTCAGATAGTACAAATATAAATTACAACATAATAAATATATTTTATAAGAATATCAATAAAAAGTTATATAGAAAGGACTCTGATACAGAATGGAGAAGGTAGAACTGTATATTATCCTGTAATGTGATCATCCAGACATAAAGATTGTAGCTGTGGATCAGTGTTTCTCAACCTTGACAATTTTAAGGCATGTGGACTTCAACTCCCAGAATTCCACAGCCAGCAATGGCTGTGGAATTCTGGAGTTGAAGTCCACATGCCTTAAAATTGTCAAGGTTGAGAAACACTGCTGTGGATGATAAGCTGAGCCTAAGAAGGGACAAAGAGAAGAATCAGATATGCTGTTGCATCTGCAGAATCTCTCACAGGGAAGGGAAGCTGAAATGAGTTAAAGAGCTGGCAGAAGCAGATGAACTTAAGAGGGAAGTATAAAATGGCTAGCAAGCAGAGATACGTAGTTGTCTTGGACTGCAGAAGAGATGCAGGTTCCAAAATGGTTTAAGATACCAAACAGGAAGATGCAGTAGCATGGGATCAAGTATCAAGGCAGAGATTTCCAAAAGGAAAAGGGGATTTGAAGAGAAAAGAGGATCATGATTATACTATCAATCAGAGATTGCCAGACAAGTTCCAGCTAAAGATCTTGATTAACTCTATGGGAAATTCAACATAGCAAAAGCTAAGATAGACACAATGTTAATTGGGCCATCAAGCTATTCTGTATATACAGTACATTCTCTTTTGAGCATAGAAAGGGGGGGGGGAGACTGAAACTCTGAATGTTTAACCTGCATAATTATTTAAAGAATTGGTCTCTTAGAACAAATACTTTTCTATCCTTTGTTATGCTTCCTCCCCACAAAAAACAAATAAAGAAATGATGTGGCATGGTTCACTTTAAGGTCTTATGTCTTATCTAATTCCTACATGGGCCAGTGACTGCTTTCAAAATTCAGCAGAAAAAAGAGAATCCGTCACCAGCAATTTGGGACTGCTTTTTTATTTTCATTGAAGAAAACCAACTACTTTTGGTTGCATTATTGCCATTCCACTGCTATATATGCACGACAGTATGATTGTTCAGAATCACAATCTGAGCATTATTTTCCCTTTCTCTTGCCATCTTTTTCTTTGTATGTAAAGTTCCTTCAGACTGTAAGTCTGAGGGCTAGGACTGCTTTTCTTACTAATACCTCCAATACTCAAGCAGCTGAATATCAGTGCTCTAAATTCAGAAAACAAAGGTCAAGAGCACCATATGCTGAAAACCTGTGGATACTTTCTTCATGAGGCAAATTTCCAGTTAAAAAGCGACAGAACCTCTGTGGATATGGTAGCTTCACATACCTTCATGTTTTAAATTGTTTCTTTTCTGTTTGACTGAGTGTTGTATTGGGAAGGCCAATACTTTTATGGAGGAGGAAGAGGAGGACCTTTGAAAACTTGCAGGGAATTCAGAATTAGAGAATTGTGGAGAGAATAGAGTTTTGATTGGCCCACTTATACATCTCAGGTAGTGTCTAGTAGGCACATATGACATAAGGACAAGGGAATCTCATTCTTCACTACAGACAGGAAAGTACCTGTATTGATTGCATGTGCTTGACTATTTAACAGCAATCTGATGTAGCAATTTGGAAATGGCATAGTTACAGTGAATCCCTACAGCAGGGGTGTCAAACTCACAATGTCATGTGATATGTCGTGACGTATCGCGACTTTTTTTGCCATTGCTGGGCAATGGGGTGGGCGTGGTTTTGCTATGATGCATCTGGCCCCCAGACTAGCAGTTTGACACCCCTGCCCTACAGCCTGTAGGTTTGTTTGTCTAAAGAGTAAGTTTAATAACGGCTATAAAAATCCCCACATTGCCATCTGGAAAGTTCCTACCCTGGTTGATTATTTTCCAAAGAATTCCTCACAATTGGGTTCATTACCAAAATTCTGCTTTGTGAACCAATAACACCTAACAAAAAGTAGAGTGTATCACCTTGCTGTAACTGTTACAATTCAAACCTATTAAGCCCCCAATAAAAACAACACATGGCTGCTATTTCTTGTAAAGTGGTGCAATTTTCATATTTTGAAAAGCAACTGGCAAATTCTATTCAGCGCTTTCTCTGGTTTTTAAGTTTCAAGGTTCTTGGATTTTTAGCACAGTGAAGTGAGAGAAATTACTTTTTCCATGGTGGATCTCATTTTCAAAAAGACCGATATGTGACTGATGAGGTTGATATTGCTTTGAAATGGAGATACTTTCTGTGGAAGACACAGGCGCTTAATGTGACAGGAGATTTCACATTTCAAGAGATGAGCTTGAGAGCTGCCAGGAATTTTCAAGCACCCAAGTAAAGGGGAAAAAAGGGGCCTCCCCATAATAAACTTAGAAAGAATAGAAAAGCAAAAGAACCTGCTGTTAACCTCTAAAGCCATATTTGGAGACCACCACAGAACAAAAATGAGATATAAAGACGGGAAAAGAGTTTAATCAATAAAACCAAACAATGTTTTGCAAACAGAAAGAAAATGGGAAGCAAGAATAACAGCAGTGAAAAGATAATTTTCAACTAGAATAGCTTGTTTGTGGGAAAGTAAGTTCTTTATGAGAAAAAGAAATTAAAAATCCCAAAGAATAACAAGAAGCTGAGGCAATGAATAATGTACAGTACCTTGAATCATTGGTTCATCATACATAGTTCAGTTTTGTACTGAATTTGTGAATATATACCTGCTAAAAATCTAGGTAGAAAATCCAGCAGATTTCAAGAGGAAGGAAGCCCCATTCCTCCACAGCCAGTACAGGAATGCATTTTTTTAAAATTTCTCCCATCAGAAGAGTAAAAAATCTTGATGGTTGTCAGCTTTCTTTATAAGGTTCCTTTATTCTTGAGTACTATGTAAGAATAGACTGACAAGTGAATTTCAGTTTGAAATATATCAATTTACACTAAAGGCATGGAAGGTACTTTTTTTCTACTTTATGTAATTTCTTCTACGTAGGAGTTCTTTTTTATAGAAATTTACAATACATAGAAATATAGGAAAGAGGAAAATAGATTCATGAACTGATAGCTTGAAACAAGTGCCTTTTGCTCATTAGAGTACTGAAGACATAGAAATGCCATATGGCATACAGAGAGTAATATTTATCCCATTTCCTGCATCCCCAAGTCCATGCTAACAAAAATTGAATGTAACAAAATAAGAAAAGTGTATTATTACAAAATCTAAAAAAAAATTGTATTGTAGCCCTTGGAAACTAGAAGTCACATTAATCTTACCGGGGAAACCAATGGACAATTTTTCAATCTTACAGACTAGCACTGATGATATTACCTAGTTTGGGTAATGAAACATCTGCAAGAAAACAAGCAAGCTCAGAGAGCACGAAGGACCTCTTTATTACAACCTTACATTTTAATATGGTTTACAATATGAAAGTTTTATTTGGTGGAACCAAATTTTCATCTATTAGTGTTTCACTTGTATTTAGGCTCCTTTTAAAAAAATAGGGCCCTTATTCGTTCCCCCCCCCCACTAATTCCTTAGTTATGCAAAACTAAGTAGCTGCTGGATTAATGGCTGGGCTTGTTTTTTTTTTTTTTTTTTTGAGAAAGTGGAGGGTTGGGGGTTGGGATAGGGAAGGGGTTTAAGAGGAATCCCCCCCTCTTTTATAGCAAAGATGACTATCCTTCTGGAAGTCTGATTCTTTTATCTGTAATTTGGAAGAATTTTAAATAATTTAGCCTATTAATTCCAATTTAAATTAAATTAAACTAGTCTAGCCTTCAGCTATTGAAAAATAATCCACCAATGGAAGAGAGAACTATACCTGCCTAGGACCCAAAGTTGTACGTCTGAATCCTGGGCGAGATCAGTCAAGACTGGGATCTTGTAGTCCAGGACAGGCGTGGCAACTTTGGCTGACTGATCTGATTGGGCAGGAATACAGTCTCAACCCATTGGTGGATTATTCATCTCCAGTGCTGGAGAATGTTTCTTAACTTTTTCATCCCCTTGATTGTATAAGCCATGGTTCTGGAGTTAACAACTATCCCAAAGTTATCTACACTAGAAACCAAAAAAAGGTGTTCATGGGACTTGCATATTAAGCTACAATTTGTTTTAACCATGGTTTGTTAAATACATTAGCTTTTTTGCCCACTTATTTTTAGTATTTCTATCTTTGTATCTTGGGATATGTTAAAAGCTGGGGCAGAACACAAAATCAAACCAGGAAATAAGCCATGAAGCCTGCCTACGCATCATTGTAAGCCACATTTGAAAACACTAAGACAAAAATAAAACAGGTTTTCAAACTTGGCTAGGCTACCCATGGTTTATTTACTGGTCTCTCTTAGCAAATCATGCTAAATAAGAAAGAAATCAAAATAAAGCATAATGCAGTGCAATATGCTATATATCCAAAATTAGTATGAATTTTACTTCATCTCTTTTCATAAAATCTAATAGAATAAAGCAACTTGATGCACCACACAATACAGTTATGCAGAGCAAATAAAGTAGAGAAGAAAGATAGGAGGGAAGGGATGCGGGAGTATGGGAATAAGACTAACAAGCATATCTTACTGGGTTTTTACACTTACAGTTAGTGCAACCAGCCTCATCAATTCCACTTTCACAGTCTTTTTCTCCATCACATTTCCAAGATGCAGGAATGCATTTATTGCTGGAGTCTCCACAGCTAATTTTTTCAGCTAGACATACTTGTTTGGCTACAAAAACAAACAAATGGAACACAGTTAAAGTTACCCATGCCAAGAATATATTGTATCACATCCAGTGTTGTTTTGATTTTTACAAATTGTAGACATTATTTATAATAGGTCAAATAGCTCTGAAAGAAATAGGATTTCTTTTCCCTCTCATATCTCTGAAAGCTTCAAATAAAGTTAAAGAAAATAAATTTATCCCAAATATTACACAATACAAATAGTGTAGACTGCATGGATTCAGTTTTTATTGTCTCTAATTTTGATGAAATAAGGAAGTATTTATAAATTAGAAATAATACTACTTAAGTTCACTGACCCACATACAATTGGAGTAAAAATTACAAAATATATTTCTGGTTTTTTTTAAAGAAAGGAAGATAATTTAGAGAAGCTGCTTATTTGATAAATATCTACAGACCCCTCACATCCTGGACATAAACTGTTTCAACTTCTTCCCTCAAGACGATGCTATAGGGCAGACATGTCAAACTCGCGACATCACGTGATGCTGCGCAACATATTGGGACGGTTTTGCCATTGCCGGCAATGGGGTGGATGCAGCTTCCAGATGACACATCCGGCCCACTGGCTGGCAGTTTGACACCCCTGCTATAGGGCATTGCACATTAAAACAACTAGACACAAGAACATTTTTTTCTCCCATGCCATCACTCTACTAAACAACTAATTCCCACAACACTGTCAAACTACCTAGTAGACTGTATTACTATTATCCTTCTCATCCTTCCTATTACCTATCTCTTATCTTCTTATAACTATAACTTTGTTGCTTGTATCTTACAATTTGTATTGTTTTATTTAGTATCCTAGTATGATTTATGTTGAATGCTTATTTAGTATCCTACGACCATCACTGAGTGTTGTGTCTTTTGATTTATGATTAATGTATTTTATGATTATAATCATAATTTATCACTTGTTGCTTGTATGCACCAGAGACAAATTTCTTTTGTGTCCAATCACACTTGGCCAATAAAGAATTCTAATTCTAAATTCTTTGAATTGGCTGTGTAGTAGTTGTATGATGAAATATTTAGTCTTGCTGCAAATGTGCTGTCAGTGAACACTCTTGATAATATAATAATGGCTTTCTTTGATGGCCCTAACACTGGAGAGCCCATCCTTGTTGGGTTTTTTTTTTTAAAGAAATGTTAGAAACTCTACAGAAAACACAGACAGAACTAAGTCTTTGTTTGGACTGCATCATCTGGGAATATAAATATACCCCCCACCACCACAGGGAGAAGAATACAAAATTTAGTAAACAAAATGGAAATACACTCAAAATTGCCTTGCAATAAGCCTCACATTCACTTTACAATCTATAAATAAATAATGTAAGATAATCTTAATAATGTAGGAAATACAAAGTGTAGTGTTGGATATAGCAAACAAATTTATGGAGAATGTTTATTTAATACATATTTTACAGCACTGATAAGGATAATCCTGAAGCCAATAACTGCTTACCAATAATAATCTAATATGTTTTCTTGCAAGTAAGCCTGGCTTATTTTAATGGATCTTACTTCAGGAAAGCTAATAATGACTGCAGTTTCAAATGCAGAAATGCCTTAATTTTGTATATGCCAAATTAGGAAAATTTCTAATACTGGAGAGCAATATTTAATATTTCTCCAATTAACCCAACTGTCCCTACTTGCATTCTCTTTTTCAGGTATTTAGTTTTATGTTTGGGATTCTTAAATAGGTAGAAACATATAATACCAAATTAAATCTGATCAGCTGTCATAAAGATGGCACTACTAATATTCTTACTAGAATAGCATACTTTATTGGTCAAGTATGATTAGAAAACACAAGGAATTTGTCTCTGATGCATACGCTCTCAATGTACATGCAAAAGAACAAAGCAATAATAATTGTAACATCAAAGTAATAATGATAGTTAACAATGATAACAATAAGAGAAGATAGTAGAACAGATGAGAAGAACAAAAGTAATACAGCCTTACTACATGGGTAAATAGATATAAGACAGTACTGTGGGAATTAGATGTTCAGCAGAGTGATGGTACAAGGAAAAAAACTGTCCCCATATCTAGTTGTTTTGGCATGAAATGCCCTATAACGGCATTCTGAGGGGAGAAATTGAAACAGTTTATGTCCAGGATGTGAGAGCTCTAGATATTTTCTCAACCCTCTTTCTGATCCAATACAGGTCTGATCCAATATAGGTCTATTGTATACTTGTTTAATCAGTAGGAGGTGGTACAGACAGTGGGCATTAGAGTAACCCGAATGGCATCACCCATCCGGTTCGAGCAGGTGGATGGATCCCTTTTGGGGGGGCTCCTGCCACGTTTGTCACGGAACCAGAGGATGGAAATGGGTACGTATTGGGAAACCCTCCGGTTTATAGTGGTCCCATCTATGACTGAGGCAGTGATCCTAGGTTTGGCTTGGTTGGACAAATGGACTCCGACCATGTGGTGGGCTGACAGGTGTCAGCATTCCCAGATTGGGGTGGGACCACAGCTGCCTCAACCACGTACAAATGATGCGAAGAAGAAGACAGAGGGGGTCAAGGCAGCGCAGGAGGAGGGTGGTCATAACTTTCCAGCTGTATATAACGACCTTGCAGCTATATAGTATATAGATACATTGATGACATTCTAACTAGTCCCTCCAGATATAGACAATTTTTCCCTTAGTTTAACAACTACATTTTATTTTTATACACATTAGTTTGAAACTTTCCCAAAACAGACTACAGTAAAACGACTGCAACTGGGGAAAATAATAAAATTAAGAATTCTTCTCCTGACATTATTTGAGAGCAAGTCTGTGAGCAATTGATCTTCTCAGTTTATATAACAGACAAAAGTATTTTTTACCATCAGAAAAAGCCCAGGATAATGTGATTTAAACTTGTTCTTTTGGAGAACAATTTTTGTGAATCATCGTTAGCAGATAAGTTAGGATGTTGGATAGGAGAATAGCAGGAAAGTATACTTTCTTTATAAAGATGACATTAGATTAATCATCTCAATGAGGCAGAGAATTTTTTTTCTCCAGATTAGTGCCCTCCACATAGCAGGCTGAAATTCTAAGATTTGAATTCTGAAAGTAGGAATACAATAATCAGGCTGTGATGCAATAATTAGATGGAAAATATTCATTCATCTGATTTTCATGCTATCTTTCTTTTTTGGCAGATACTCAAAGTTGCTTACAAAAATTAAAACAAAAACAGAACATTGAATGCAAAAAATAAGAAAAAACACTAAAATTATGTAATAATGAAAAGGCTGGTGAAAGAGACAAAGAGATTTCATAAACATAAATATAATGATCCACAGGTTGGGAACAACACAGGACAAAGTTCTTTTCTTAGTGGCAATTGACAGTGAAGAGCTAAGCATGTGCAAAAGGGTCTTTCCTTCATATCTCAACAACTACACAAAACTGAATAATTAACTAACAAATATATAGGCAAGGAGTTAAAGGCTAGTCTGCTTTATTTTAATTTTGGCTCTTAGGTTGCATTTTGAGATACAAAGTTCAGAAGACGAATTACAATTAAAAATGAGAAATTAGTGCAAAAATTCTAGGAAAAAGGCCATCCATTTTTTAATGTTTTGATTGGAAGCAAATGTTGATGCAATATCAACACCAGGCTGCAGATAAAAACTCAGTTGCAGGTGCAAATTGTGCCTGCTTGCTTCTTGCTTGCATCACTTTCATCTTTCTGTGGCTTAACAACTTGCTGTTTGAGTTTCCCTAACCTAGGATAAAGAAAGGGTTAACCTGATATAGAACAGGGAGTGCTGTCAAGGTTTATGTTGGTGCAAAATATAGGGAAAACAGAGTCTTTCAAAAACAGACCATTAAAAAGACTTGGTTAAAATGTCAGACACATCAAGACCAATTTATCACCATGAGGCACAAATGCCAAGGATGGACAACAATGCTTTATTTATACAGAGACAAGAGCGAAGACAAGCAAGACGAGTCCATTGACTTGCCACAACCAATGGCCCATTCATTCTTGGTTTCTTTACACCCCAACAGGACAAATTCTTTCATTAAAATTGTTGAGCCTAACTGGCGCCCCATTGCTTGGCTTCCTCTTGTGCTACTGCTGAGCTTTTCAGGCATAGAAGCATTATATATATTCAAGGGAATGGCCAGATAACAGACATCGACTTTCACATGACCATTTGTTGGGTTCTCACCATACAGGTGCTCTAGGGGCATGCAAAAAAATAAAAATCAACCCCTACTTCTTGTGGGAAACCTACAGAAATCTTTTCAATAACAGACTAGACAGTTTCCGGGAGCATGAAACAAGGCCTATTTTTGTAGAAATGTTACTTTGAACAAGAAGGTCTGCTTACACTATCACTGTTTTAAGATTCCCTATTTGTTTTCTTATATAATACGAAGCAGTATAGTAAGAAGATCCAAGGTTTACCACAAACAATATGTGTAAACTGTTAATTCAGCCTCAGGCATTAGCAGCTACATATATAATCCATCCTATTGCTCAAAAAATGATTTTTATACCCTTGGGATTGAAGCCAAACTCTGTGTATAGCACTTAATTCCTGCTGAAATCGTGGGATTTCAGTTCCAATTCTACCACCGTTTTCAGAGGGACTGGTTTTACACAACTGTCTAATATAATCTTTTGAGACTACGAAGTAAGTAAGGATTTAAATTCATGAATTAGGCTCATCAATAATCCAACTAGATTTCAAGTACAAGTGACATTGCTAGTGCTCAGTAACTGTTTCAACATTTGGGCTAGGGAAACTTTTGAGCAATTACAAAACATTAGCATCTCTAAATTCATAAGTTCCCAAAAAAGAGTTCTACGAAGTGAAGATTTCCCCCTTCCCAGAATACAAGATTAAACTAAAATCTTCAAGGGATTAGACAACTAATCTCTAAAGGATCAACAACATACAGAGTAATTCCATCTTGGAAATACCTCATTTATTTTTTAACACTTT